TCCCCCCCCCCCCCCCCCCGCCGGCGGCTCATACATGATTCGATAGATGTTTTAATGCTCTATCAAATGAGATGTCCCACGAAGTCTAGAGTTCTCTAGCTATGGAGATTTTGAGCCTGGAATACTCGGCGGTTGAAAAGGGTTTCCAGAGACCCGTGGTTCTTAGACGAACCCAAAAACTTATGAAAAGGAGTGATTCGGATAGCCCTGATCATGAGGAATCCAAATATATCGTCAGAATGTCTATAGCACAAAGTGGTGCAAAACTATGCGTATTGGAAAGAAAAGGGTACTCTAAAAATCCGGCCCAAAGGGTACTTAGTATTTGGGCTACAGCTCTTGAACAAGACGTCCTAGGACTTTCGTCCAAGAGCAAAAAAGTCTTAGAAGTGACTATTACATAAGCCCTGAAAGTTTCAAACGATTTGGTGAATGTTGTGTTTTTTTGTCACAAGTACCATGGAAGTAGCCACATATAATAATGCTAACAAAGAATACAATAGAATCGATAATCAGTATTATTTATCTTCTTCGGTGGTTATTTCTATTCATTCACAATCATTTGAAACGTTTTAATTGAACAATGTCTGAATCAAGCAAATCACCATTATCAACAACAAGTGTTTTAGGTGATATTTCCAGTCGAAAACAGCGATTTAATACTGAATTATCGAAATTGAAAAAATGACTCATCAAACAATCCATTGTTTACAGCAGACCGATACGAAAACACTGTTTTGTCAGTACAACAAACAAAGAAGAAATGTTTCGCCGATCGAAATGTTAAAGAAATCGCACTTTTGAGAACCTACGATGTCTTAGTCTTTGGTAATTACTCAAAATTAGTGAAAAAATCTAGTTCAGCGGTCGAAGGCGCTGCAAAATATTATGTGCTTCTCGTTGTCACAATTCTTTAACTTGCGATAATAAATGATGATCATTTGTTGAAATACAACTTTACTTATCTCTTTAATTGCTAGAAACAACTTCGACAAGATTTTCTGTCGAAGTAATAACTTCGATAAGTTTTTTCATCGACGCGAGAACTTCGATGGCTGATTTTATCGAAGTGGCAACTTCGACAAAAAGCTAACTTCGATACGACATATATATAGATACCCACACCCACCGCAACACCCTCAATCGAGATATATTCGTGTCCACACTCACCGCGGCACCCTCAATCGAGATAGATAAGTGAGGGTGTGGGTGTATATATGCATAAGTAACACTAAATCTATTCCTATTTCTATTATGTCATTTGTTATAAGGGTTATATAGATATCTATTTATATTCGAATTGATACTAGCCTGTCGGGGGTCGACTTATAATATAAGTCGAATTAGGCACCTCATGGTCCCTTCAGAACCCTTTTACTCACTCGCAAGTATACGAATACTCGAATAATTAAACGGAAGGATAGACTATTGAATTTAAGTTCCTAACTATAGATATTTGGTCTTATGACAATCTATGATTGTATACTTTTCCTCTTCTCTCTTTCTCTTCCTCTTCATATACAACAATTATCTGCTTTCTTCCTTCCTATATGAACTTCGTCATTAGCCTCTCAATCCATATACCCAGCATAGAGATATTGATAGATTTATCTCTTCTTATTCCCTCTACTAAAAGGAGGGTATACACAGAATTTGAGCTAAAGTTCGTTCGTTTGTCCGGACGTTCGTCCATTCACATACTTTACACTAAGGAAAAAGCAATCTACATTTCTGACTAAGAAGGGTTGACCGAAGGGTAATCGGGATCGAGGAACTCGAATCCGTGTTAGTTTTTTCATGAACGCTTTCTCGCCCGTTTTTCTGTGACAAAGGATCAACTTTTTAAACGATAATGTTTTAAGTGGCAATATGTAGAACAAAA